CCGAATTTGTTTTTTAGTGATAAGTGTTTGTTCCTTAAGTATACGGTAAGTAAGTAAGTAAGTAAGTAAANAATAAAAAAACTCGACGTGCTAGAAAGAACCAAAGATGTATTTTAACTTAGCATACCCAGATATTAATAAAATAACATAAGAGCTGGGGAAAAAATTGAAATTTCGCAATTTAGATTAAGGTTATTATTAATTTATTTATTGTTGTAGTGTCTTTTTACTATTTTACTGTTTTTTAAATGAATTGTAGTTTAATGAATGTGGTTTTCCGAATTTGTTTTTTAGTGATAAGTGTTTGTTCCTTAAGTATACGGTAATTTTTTTTTAAGTAATCGCTATGTTTTTCATCTATAAATATGTTATTTTTCATTTAAAAACCTGGCTTATATTTTGATAAATACTACACAAATCCAAGCTTCACACTGTGTACGTAATTTAGAAGTATTTGGCAAAGTTTCATCAAAATTGCAAGCTTTTAAATAAGAGTTTATCTAAATTTAGAAATTCTTATTAAAAAGTTTGTAATTTTCATTAAACTTTGGAAAATACTTCTTAACTATGTATTCAGTTTAAAACTTGGATTTGTATGGTGTTAAAATATAAGCCATGCTTTAAAACCAAATAAAAAAACATTTATGGCATGAAAAACATTGCGAATATTTACAAGGAATCACCATTTTGATAAATGAATTATTTAATTTTTATTTATTGAAAGCTTAGCTTTATTATTACTTTATTTAATTTTTCTGATGTTACTGTACTGAGTTATTGTTGTTTTCGGAATAAATGAAATGAAATGAAAACATGAAATTAGATTTTGTGTGTACCTGACTTATTTAATAAAAAGTTAATTTTATATTTTTAATTATAATATATAATTTATTATATCAAAAAAGAATTAATTTCTAAGGCTAAATAGTATGATTTTATTTCATTAGTTTTCTTACAGGCTACTGAAATTTTCTAGTGAAACTTAAATATGTACTTATAGTTGAATATAATTTGGATGTGTCAGATTAGCACTTTTTTACTTGTAAATAAACTGGCAAAATGAAATATTGCATTATATACATAATGCCAAATTTTGGGTTGTGTCACTTTTGAAAAGAGTGTGCGATATGTACATATTTGTTACTTATTAAATAAGTGTCAGGGTGGCGGTAATGTTACGGCATAATCCTTCTTGGTTATCAAACCGGTTCTTTAATTGACGCACTGCGCATTTGCTAGCCGTGTACCAGTGTCAGCCTTACCCTGCGCCCATTAGCCAGTTTCTGCGGGTTTCTAAAAATATGCAAGAATAAAAACAAATGAATATATTTTCCATACCTTTGGAAAAAATATTAGGGCTGTTCAGAATATTGTCTAAATGGTCTTGGATTTGCAGTTGGAATTTCATTTGCAAATTTTATGATTGCTGCCATGGCAATCGTGTCANTAAAAATATGCAAGAATAAAAACAAATGAATATATTTTCCATACCTTTGGAAAAAATATTAGGGCTGTTCAGAATATTGTGGAAATGGTCTTGGATTTGCAGTTGGAATTGCATTTGCAAATTTTATGCTTGCTGCCATGGCAATCGTGTCCATTTTATTGTTGCGAATTTACAAATGCAACGGATATGCAAATGTAAGAGCCTATGCACAAAATCCTGAACAGCCCTATTGTTTTTCAATTACCCAAATTAATATTATCCGGTTCACGTTTGAGAAATTGTCGGATTGTATACCTATTTAAAAAAAAACAAGCATTAACAAATATACATTCCAAATCTTAAACATTTCTTCTATGCATTACCCTACACACGCCCAACAGCGGCAGCCTCTGCGTCTTCGTGCATTGCCTTTGCGCTGTGTTGACTACTCCGCTTTAATATGCATGATTAAGGTAATGTTTAATATGTCAATCCAGCTGACACCCATCAACGCGAAGGTGCATGCATTTTAATTCAAGGGTGCTCTCTCGCTTAAGCTTGTATTGCGCGACTGGTGTATCAATGTATTGCCCATGGTGTTCATTTACACTCCGATGGGGCTCAGGCACACCAGCGAGTATTATACCAACAGAATTGATGTAGTAGTGTTTCTCTTTTGGTAAGTAAATAACCCTTCACAATACCATCCACCACATTACTTGCTACGATTGAGGGCGCGATTGGCAAACTGAGTAGCTGAACGCATGTAACATACAGTGCATGTGCAGGCGCATTGGGGAATTCATTGAAGAAACAGGCGGTGCTGAGAGTGCGCGTGCGCTAATGCCCTCCAAGATTCTATAAAACATGTTTGTTTAAATATTTTAATTGAATACAAAAAACGAGTACGTACTTACATACATATATGCCACTGTATAGGTAGTATTGAGGTTTGAAAACAGCGGACAGCAATTCCTAAAAGAGTTAATGAAAATAAACCAATTATAAAAAATGGGGTTGTTTTAGGGCTGTGCGATTATTCGATTACTCGAGCAAGTTGGTTAATCAGTTGTTCGGTTAATCAATTACTCCAGTAATCAATATTTTGATTAGATAGATAATGATCAGGGAACGGATTTTATGGAGATTGCCTTCTTTTCTGCTAAAGAGATAGAGTATATTCGATTAAGAATGTCCACGATTTAGCTTTCGCTGATTCCATATATATACATTTGATGTTGCCTTTTTCTGCCTTTTTTAAGATATTTGCCTTTTTTTGCCTTTTTTAAGATGTTTGCATTTTTTTGCCTTTTCTACCTTTAAAAAAGTGACTATAGCATTTAGAATTTTTTTTTTAAGATTAAAAAATATACTCATGCCCATGCGGCTTATAGAAGCGCAGGGACCTCTTGCCAAATTGGTGTTGAAAAAATTCAAAGCCGTTTTCTCAGCAAACGTAGGCTTGGAGACAATAAGGGGTGTGGATAAAATTGTAAAGGGCAAAGAAAACGCCCTTATTCCTGATAATATGAACGTTTCAAACGTTCCATATTTAAATTGGGCTCCACTTGTATCACTTTCGTCGAGCGCACATTTAGTACATTCAAGGCTTTTCTTCGCGAAAATCGAATGAAAATGCTGCCAGAAAACTTCAAAATGCATCTTGTGGTTCAATGTTACTACAACTATACAGCTTAAAGTTTTATG